GTCGAGGCTGCGGTGGCCGGGAGCGGCCACTGCACTCCAGTCTAGGTGACAGAGTGAGACTCCAACTCAAAAACAAAAAAAAGTAACACATAGATAACATCTCTTAAACTGTGTATACATTTTATTGGTACCCCCAGCATAAAAAAAAAAAAAAGATTGGCATACCTGGTAGGATAGCTAAAATCAAAAAGACAAAGACAGTAACAATTATTGGCAAGGACGTGGGGAAATTGGAAGCCTCACTCATGGCTGGTAGAGTGTGATGTGGTATAGCCACTTGGGTAGTTCCTCAAAGAGTGAAATGTCACCTTATGACCTGGTAGTTCCACTTCTAGATATACACCTAAGAGAAATTAGAACCCATGTCCACACAAACACTTGTACACAAATGTCTATAGCAGTATTATTCATAATAGCCAAGAAGTAGAAACAACCATCAACTGATGAATAAGCAAAATATGCTACATCCCTACAATGGAATATTATCTAGCTATAAAAAGGAAGTACTGATTGATATATGCTTCAGTGTAGATGAACCTTGAAAATATTATGCTAAGTGAAAGAGGCAATTACAAAAGACCACGTATTATTTCATTTATATAAAATGTTCAGAATAAACAAATCTGTAGAGACAGAAAGTAGATTAGTGGTGGCCAGGGGTTAGGTAGGGGTACATAGGGAGTGATTAACAATAGGTATGACTTTCATTTGGATAATGAGAATGTTCTAAAATTAGATAGTGGTTTTGGTTGAATGACTCTAAATATACCAAAAATAAAAATATCCACTGAATTGAATACTTTAAAGGGTGAATTTTATGGGATGTTAATTATGTCTCAATGCTGTTATAAAACAAAACACAACAAAAAGAAAGAACAAACTTAGTCCAGGCTCTCTGCCTGTATAGAGACAGAGGTTAGTATCATTTTTTTTTTTTTTTTGAGTTGGAGTCTCACTCGGTCACCCAGACTGGAGTGCAGTGGCCGCTTCCGGCCACCGCAGCCTCTACCTGCTGGGCTCCGGTGATCCTTCCGCCTCAGTCTTCCAAGTAGCCGGAATTACAGGCATACGCTACCACGCCCAGCTGATTTTTTGATTTATTGTAGAGATGATGTCTCACTGCCCAGGCGGGTCTCGAACCCACAGGCTCAGGCAATCCACTCACCTCAGCCTCCCAAAGGCGCTGGATTACAGGCTGAGCCACCGAGCCCGGCTCAGAGGTTAGTAGCTAATGTCAGTTTATGTAAGTTCCTCAGAGGCAATAAGTATTTGAGTATTTCAGGTACTTACCATAGTGCCTGAACATAGTAAACACTTAAGTGTTTGTTAAAAGAATGAGTATTATGACATCAAAAGGAAGAATTTTGTGTAGAAATTATTGTAGGAATATAAGGCTGAAATAAAGAAGGTAGAAAATAAAAAATTATTAGAAATCATAAGAGAACCCAAAAGGTAGTCAGTTCCAAAATAAATAAAAAGATTAATATATTTTCTCTACATTTGCAATAAAGTATAATGAAAACAATATTATTAATAAGAGTAATATAAAACACCTAAGAATAAACTTAGCAAGAAATGGACAGAAATCCATATGAGGGGAAAAAATGACATTTTCCTAAGGAACATTAAAGAAAATGTAAAGATATATCCATGGATAAGAGGATTTAATATTGTAAAGATATTACTTCTTTGGACAGGTCCAAATAGTTTATATAATCTCATCCAACTCCAACAACATTTTGGAAGAAGAACCACCTAAATGATTATAAGGTAAATATAGAGGAAAAAATGGCCAAAAATATTTGAAAGGGAAGAATCATAATTGGGATTTGCTGTGCCGAAGAGTAAAGTACTTTATAAAGCTACAATATTGGCACAGGAATAGTGAACAGATCATAGAATAAAATAACAACAACAGAGATGCCAGCATTCATTGAGCAGTGAGCAGTTACTCTGTGCTTTGTTGGTGATTACATAATTTCATTCTCATAGAGCTCTATTAGGGTAGTTACTGTTCTATTCCCATTTAACAGATAAGAAAACTGAGAGTCAGAGAGGTCTAATGATTTGGCTATATGGTTGTAGGAGTACACGGAAGAGCAGGAACTCAAACCTGTGCTGATCCCCAAATTCAGTGATCTTAATTAGCAAAGTATAATTCTAAGAATTTACCCTTAAATAATGAGGATATGTAAAAATATTTAGATACAAGAATGTTATTCACCAAAAAAGAAAAAAAAAAGTAAGAATGTTATTTATAGCATTGATACAAGAGCCAGAAGTTAGCACTAGCCTGAATAACAAGCAACAAGGTAATGGTTAAAATAAGTATGATATACTTTTACAATTAAAGATTATCTGTGGCCATTTAAAATTGTGTAGAATATTTAGTGACACAGTAATGAGGATAATTGTATTAAACAACAAAAGTAGATACAAAACAATAGGATCCCACTTTAAAAATACACACACACACACACACACACACACACACAGAAGAAAGATGGGATATGATTTTCTTTGATAAAATTATGAATGATTTATATTTTCTCTTTTTTTTTTTTTCCTTAGGGCTGTCTGTAATTTTTTTTTTTTCCTTGAGAAAGCAGGATTTATTGAAAGGACAGAAAAGCTCCCACAGTGTGAGAGGACCCAAAGGGGTTGCTTCTATTTTCTTCTTTTTGGTTATGGATATTTTCTACTTTTTCCACAGTGAAATACATGTGTTTCTTCTCTAAAGAAAACTAATTTCAGTAAAATCACTGTGCTGCTTTTGTTTTTTGTTTAAAACAAGGTGTGTGAGGTTGTCGTCCATTCATTATTCACCCTGCCAGCTACCTTAGCTTCTTCTCTGTGCTCCCGTAGTCCCTTCGTTTTCTGTGATCCTGATGTATTGTTTTAATGATTATCGTGTGTTGTTTTCATTTACTTTTCTGACTTCTGTTTCTATATCCTTGGTGCCTAGAACAATGTCTGACTCAATGTTTTAGGAAGGAAAGATAAAGCAGAGTGGGAATAAAGGGGAAGAAAAAAGGAAGGAAGGGATAAAGGAGCCCCCCTCTGCAGAGATATGGGTCTGAGGTTCTGTTTTCTGTATTTAGGCCAGCTTTTTCCCCAGAATTCAAAAGTAATGGTAGATGGTGTATAACTCATATAATTCTTTATGCTAATTCAGAAAATGGATTGACCAAAAAGAAAAAAGGCTTTGCTTTCAGAACCTCTTGTTTTTAAGTTCTGATTGTGAGGAACCAAACATATATGTAAAGAAATGTACCTGCCTAAAGCATGTGGGGTGGGGTGGGCATGGGGAATTGGAGACTTCTACACTTAGGACAGAGTGAATCTTTCCCAAATTATTGAGTGAAACCCATGAAGGCTATTTAGGCTGAAAATGCTGCCATGCCACCCCCATTCTCCCTTCTCTTCCACTAGTTATATCTAAAAGGCCATTTTTAAAGAAAGACTTGGCAGATGTGGGAGTTCTTGCCTGGTTGCCTTTCAGACTTTTCTGGGTAAAAGATCCTAAAGGGCCTTGGGGACTGCCCCCTGGCCTAACTGCTCACATCATGTATCTATTTAAACATTCATTTGCTTGGGGTGAAAGCCAGAGAAATGGACTTGATGTAACTCCCAGTGTGATTTCTTCTTTCTTTCCAGGAAGGGGAACAGTTTGTGAAGAAAATCGGTGGTATTTTTGCCTTCAAGGTGAAGGATGGCCCTGGGGGTAAAGAAGCCACCTGGGTAGTGGATGTGAAGAATGGCAAAGGATCAGTGCTTCCTAACTCAGGTCAGTGTGAGAATGGCTTCATTTAGAGGAGTGCTGACAAGTTTATGAAGGCTGTCAGCCAGGAAAATGGGGGTCTGCCTTGCTGTTGCCAAAAAGGGCTGGTGTAGAGGTACAGGACCGTGTTCAAGAACCAGTGAATCACAGAACAGGAACAGGTCAAAGCCACCACCTCCCAAAAATTTGGAGCCTCCATCACAGTAAGCAGTCTTGGACTTTGGAATTAGAGAAACCTGGGTTGAGATCCTGGGCCTGCAATTCTCAGAGTCTGATCTGAATAAGTTATTTAACTTCTCTGAGACTTGGATTTCTCATCTGAACTTATTAAATAGTACCTTTTTCATAGGTTGCATGTGAGAATTAAAAGAATTCTCTCTTTTTTTTTTTGAGTTGGAGTCTCACTCTGTCACCCAGACTGGAGTGCAGTGGCTACTCCCGGCCACTGCAGCCTCGACATGCTGGGCTCCGGCGATCCTTCCACCTCAGCCTTCCGAGTAGCCGGAATTACAGTCATGCGCTACCACGCCCAGTTGATTTTTTGATTTATTGTAGAGATGAGATCTCGCCGCCCAGACGGGTCTCGAACCCGCGGGCTCAGGCAATCCACTCACCTCAGCCTCCAAAGGCGCGGGATTACAGAGAATTCTCTCTTAATTCGCATGTAAAGCACATGGTTGTGTGCTATGCATGGTTGTATGGCCTTGGCAGACCTGCCTGTACTCACTATTGCCAGTTCCTCTCATCCAGATCTTTCTAGAACCCACTCCAGTCAGCTTTTGTCCCATCACTATCTTCAAACTGTTCTTGTGAAGGTCACCAATGACCACTACATTGCCAAATTCAGTGGTTAATTCCCAGCTTCATGATATACTTCCAGGTTTTTCTCTTACCTTGAACTCCTCTGCTCCTTGGCTTCTCCTGCTGATATTTCCTTGTCTCTAAATTTCTGAAGCTTAAAGGGTTTTAATGCTCAGTTCTATTTGCATTTATTCCCTGGGGATCTCATCTGGTTTCATGGTTTAAAAACAGTTTCTACTCTGATGATTCCTGGATTTATGTCTTCAGTGTGGACCCAGTCAATGAACTACAAAGTGTATATTCAGCTGCTTAATTGACAGGTTTACTTGGGCACCTAGTAAGACATTGCAAAACTGACATGTGAAACTGATCTCCTGATCTTTCCCCTTCTCCCTTGTAAGTACTCCTGCTGTCTTCCCTTTCTCAGTAGTTTGCTCCTGTGTCCTACCAGCTTCTCAGTCCAGATACCTTGATATCATCTTTGGCCACTCTTTTTCTCACACTCCACAGTTGAATCCATTAGCACATCCTGTCCTCCTCTATAACTCCCACCACCCTGGTCTAAGCCAGCATCATTTTCCCCCCTGGTCTCCTTGCTTCTATCCATGCCCCCTACAGGTTCTCCACACCACAGCCAGAGTGGTCACTGAAAATCTTAAGTCAGATTGTTACCCTCCCTCTGCTCAAAAACATCCAGTGGCTTTCATCTCACTCTGAGTGAAAGCAGAGTCCTTACAATGGCCTCGCGTGGTCTGGCCCCAGTCTTCTGTCTTCCTACGTTCTCCCTCACTTTGCTCCAGTAACACTGCTCCTCCTTGCTGTTGCTGGGCGGTGGAGTGCTCTCAGTATGGGGACTTTCTCCCTCTATTTCCTTTGCTTGGAATTGCCTTCCCACCAATAGCCTCATGGCTTGTTCCTTCATTTCCTTTGAATCTTTGCCTAAATGTCACCTTCTTGGTGAGCTCTTCCCTAACCACCCTTTTAAAAATCTCACCACCACTGCTATTCCCTATGACTGATTCTTGCCTTATTTTTCTCCATAGTACTTGACACCACTTGATATACCATGTATTTTATTTATTTACTTATTGTCTGTTTCCCCCACTTGAATTAGTAGGCTCTGTGAAAGCAGAGCTTTTTGTCTGTGAAGTTCAGTGCTGCATTTGCAGTGCCTAGAATAGTAGCTGACATATGGTAGGCCTTTAAAAATAAATAACTTAAAAATGAACAACAGGATGAATAAATGACAGTAAGCATTCAGTAAGTGATACTGTTACATTTCTTTTGTTGGAGAGAGCCTGATGTAACTTAGTAATATAATGGATTGTGACCAACTTTTTGGAGAGCTTAAAATGCCATGAAAGAAACTTTGAAAGTTAGTTGATATATAGTCAGTTTATGAAAACTTTTTAAGTAGAAAAGTGAAAGTCAGAATTGTATTTTAGGGGATGAAGCTGATGTGTTAGACGTGATATCAGAGGCAGAGAGAATGATCAGGAGGATGGGCGTTACTACCATTTAAGTGAGCAGAGAGGATGTCCGACCTGAGTGTTGGCAGTGAGAGCAGTGAGTGTGGTTAGGGTAGACGCCAGGGGTAGTAGAGGTGAAGGTGACGGGGCCTGGGAGCTGTGTAGGTGGAGGTCTGTCAGAGGAGTAGGGTTTCCTTATTGATGCATTATGGAAGGCGGTCTTGTGAAAGAGGATGGCGTCAGGAGCATCAGTGGGAGGAGAATTAGCTTTAGTGAGGAAGCTTCTTTCTCTGAAAAAGGAAGGTAAATATTCAGGGGCGTTTTGAGGGAAAGGAGAGTGTAGAGCTTGGAGACAGGAGAAAAAGTTCAGAGCTCTGTTATGTGCACTGTTGAGTAAGAAGTCCATGAGAGGTTAATGAAGGAGAAGCTGAGCAGTAGGAAGGGCACCCATCTGGTGTGGGCAGCATGGCTTGTTATGGAAGGTTCCTGAAGTATACAGTCATTTTTCCTTCCAAAATTAGTGGGTGGAAAAGTGACTATAACTTTGCATTCTTTGAGCTGCCACTCTTAGGTAGTATAGGAAGAAAAGTGAAAGGCCTCATCTGTATTCCGGCTTTTAGAAATAGAAGGAACTTTGGGGCTTTTAGTAATGTCAAGCTTTTATTTTTAATGACTAAAGCTTAATGATTACTTTTTATTCCGATATGCCCATTCAGATGTTAAGGCGATTTAAAAAAAATTTCTCCATTCCCTCGTGTGTGTGTGTGTCTCTGTGTGTGTCTGTGTGTCTGTGTTAGCTGGTCAGTTGTTTTGTCATGAAAGATAATATGCTTATGGAAATCTGTTGAATGATTTTGGAACAGCTGTGTTCCCACAGATAGGCTCTTGCTGTGCTCTTCCCCTATTAGGTGCCCTATCCCACACCCCAAGGGATCTTGCCCTGGGGCAAGGTAATTTCTGCTGAAACTGATACTTGTTGGCAGCAAATAGTGGTGTTGAAATATGGACTTACCAAGTAAAAGCTACCACTGGAAATTGCCAGCTCCTTTTACATCAACCAACAAATGGCCATTTGTTAGAGATTCCCTATGTTAAAGCATTAATAACCTGTCCTAGTTTGAACTGGCATCTCAGGGAGAATTGCTAGTTCTTCTGGCATGTACATAGTGTTAGGAGGTCTACCTATTGTTAAGGAAGTAAGGTTTACTTAACTGTATTTCATTTTCTTGTATTCTGAGAGCTTGGTAATGATTATACAGATGATTATATTAAGGCCTTCTAGATTTTGTGCATTTTTCCATCATCTTTTTTTTGCTGCTTTGGTACCTTTTAGGTATCTTATCCACATGTTCTGCCCCTCCCTTATCTCCTTTGAAATGACTCATATAGCATGTCTCCAGGAAGCCAACTGTGATTAATCTAATATAGTATTCTTTAATCTGTGATTAATCTAACATATTGTTACTTTGTCCTCTCAGCACTTGCCCTTTATGGGCAGCAAGATATAGAAAGCCAGCCGGGCTCGGTGGCTCAGCCTGTAATCCTGCGCCTTTGGGAGGCTGAGGTGAGTGGATTGCCTGAGCCTGCGGGTTCGAGACCCGCCTGGGCAGGCGAGACCTCATCTCTACGATAAATCAAAAAATCAGCCAGGTGTGGTAGCATATGCCTGTAATTCCGTCTACTCGGAAGGCTGAGGTGGAAGGATCACCGGAGCCCAGCAGGTCGAGGCTGCGGTGGCCGGAAGCGGCCACTGCACTCCAGTCTGGGCGACCGAGTGAGACTCCAACTCAAAGAAAAAAAAAAAAGATATAGAAAGCCCCCATCCCCAAGGCACAGGAGCAAGAGCATAGCCTTTAGAAACACCCAGACCTAGACTCAGATCTTGGCTCTGTTGCTTAGACGGTATACACCTTCCTTGAGTCCACTTGTCTCATGTAGAAATTGGTGAGATTAATTTCTAACCATAGAGCTGTTGTCAGGATTAAGTGAGATAAGGAATATAAAGCACCTGGCATAGTAAGTGATCAGTAGATTTTTGCTTCCTCCCCAACCCATACATTAAACACTGATTTTGCTTGTACACATAGGACTTGGGGAACTGGGAAACTATCTGGGATTCATCAGGTTCTGGTGACTTTTTAACTGAGTTGTTGAATGTTTGCATCCTTCTCATAACAAAAGAAAGCAGTAGAACATAGGAGTTAAGAGTATGAGCTTTGGCAATAGGAATTTTCATTTAGACCTATCTCATCCACTTACTAGCTGTGTGATCTTGGGCAAGTTATTTGACCTCTCTGACCCTCATAGGATTGTTGTAAAGATTAAATAAGACCAGGTATGTAAAGTGCTCAGCATAGTGAAAGCTCAATAGATGCTGATATTACAGCAACAGCAGTAGCAGATTTCACTTCCTGAAGTCCAGTTATCTCAATTTGTTAGCTTTTCTCCCTGCTCTTTGATATCATATATCTGCAGTAGAATTTGATTTTCCAGGGTGTGAATGCCTTCATTTTTAAGGATTGAGGCCTTTTTTCCAGTAATAAGAGGAAATTTAGCAGGCAGCTAAGTTAGAATGACCATTGAATCTCAAATTTTTAAGGAGCAATCCCTGAGTTTAAGACACATAATAAAAGCTTTTCTTTCTACCTTGTTTTAGTTACTTATAATATGGGCATAATATGCATTGACATTTTACCCCATCTCTTTTATTAAGGCATAGATGATCTGATTAGCTATTAGACTATAATTTGATCATCTGTTGAATTCCACATAATCTATTCACTTATTCAGCAAGTATTTATTGATTGCTCTTTATATGTTAAGCACTCTTCAAGGGCCTATGGATATAGCAGTGAACAAATATGGATAAGGGCCCTGCCACCCTGAAGTTTTCATTCTATTGGACAAATACAGATAGAAAACACATATACAAATAAGTAAGGTAGTTTCAGAGAAGTGCAATGAATAAAAATAGAAAAATGATTTGTTTTCAAAGTGAGATCAACTTTAATTTGAGCTATTTCTTAATGAGAGAGGAAGCCAACTGCTAGAGTACAATTGCTAATTGATTGCCTAAAACACTGACTGCTGAAAAGTTTGATTTCTTGGTGAATTTTTCCTTTTACATTTGAAACCTCTCATTTGCCCAAGGTAGGCGTGACTAATTTTTTTTTTTTTTTTTTTGAGTTGGAGTCTCACTCTGTCGCCCAGACTGGAGTGCAGTGGCATGCTCCCGGCCACTGCAGCCTCGACCTGCTGGGCTCCGGCGATCCTTTCACCTCAGCCTTCCAAGTAGTTGGAACTACAGGCGCACGCTACCACACCTGGCTAATTTTTGATTTATTGTAGAGATGAGGTCTCGCCAAGTTGCCCAGGCGGGTCTCGAACCCGCGGGCTCAGGCAATCCACTCACCTCAGCCTCCCAAGGCACGGGATTACAGGCTGATCCACTGAGTCTGGCTGGCATGACTAATTTAGCAATGAGAGATTAGTCTTTGTTGTCCAGTCTTTCTTCCATCAGTTTGCTTTTAATGATACTAAAATTAATATTTTCAAAACTTTGTATTATTTAAATATTTGTAAAGAAAATAAGAAAAGATAGAGAAATATAATGAAAAAAACACTTTCCCCCAATTCCACCATCTAGGTCAAGAGTTGGCAAATTATGGCCTGGGGACCAAATCTAACCCACTAGCTGTTTTTTTAGTTTTGCATTTTGTAAAATATTTATTGAAGTCTACCCTGAAGTAGAGGGCATATATCTGAAGTGTGCCACTTGACAGATATTCACAAATGAGTACATTTCCAGGTCAAAATGCAGAATTGTGCCAGTGCTCCAGGAACCTTCCTACTGCCCTTTCCTGTCACTATTCACCCCCAAAAGGAACCACACTTTCTTTTTTTTTTTTTTGAGTTGGAGTCTCACTCTGTCGCCCAGACTAGAGAGCAGTGGCCGCTCCCGGCCACCACAGCCTTGACCTGCTGGACTCCGGCGATCCTTCCACCTCAGCCTTCCGAGTAGCTGGAATTACAGGCGTGCGTTACCACACCCAGCTAATTTTTTGATTTATTGTAGAGATGAGGTCTCGCTGCCCAGGTGGGTCTTGAACCCGCGAGCTCAGGCCATCCACTCACCTCAGCCTCCCAAAGGAGCGGGATTATAGGCTGAGCCACCGAGCCTGGCCACACTTTCAAATCATATCATCATAGGTTGATTTTATTTATTTCAGAAATTCATATAAGAGGAACCAAAGAACAATACAATTTACTTTTTTTTTTTTTTTTTAGGCCTGACTACTTTTGGTCAGCAGTATAAGATTCAGTCTTGTTGTTGCATTGTGACAGTAGTTGGTATCTACTATGTGAATACCCCAGAATTTATTTATTGGTTGATATATCTTTGCATTATTTCCATTTTGGGGTCTTAGTACTAAAATTAGGAACGTTCCTATACATGTCTCTTTCAATGGACATTTCCACTGTACTCATCTCTATTGGGCACATACCCAGGGTTGAAATGCTGAGTCAGGAGGTACAGTATAGCCAGACAGGTTTTTGATGTGGATGTACTATTTTACTTTCCCTTCCACACATGTTGCTCTACATTGTGGCAGTACTTGGTACTTGGTGATACTTTTTTAAAAGTCAGGTTCATTGAGTTATAATTTATATACAATTAGATCTACCCATTTTAGATAATTCTGTGAATTTAGAAAAAAAGCACACAGTTTTGTAACCACCACCAAAAATTTAAGATACAGAATATTTCCATCGTCCCAGAAAGTATCCTCATATCTCTTTGTAATCAGTCCCCTTAGGTCCTGGCAACCACTAATTAGAGTTCTGTCCCTGTTGTTTTGCCTTCTCTAGAGAGTTATGCAGAAGGACCCATACAGTATACAGCTTTTGGAGCCTGCTCCTTTCATTCATATTGTTGTACATCTCATCAGTAATTCGTTCTTTTCTGTTGCTGAGTGGTTTAACTCTTCACCAGTTGATGCATATTTGGGTTTTTTCCAACTTTCGGCAATTATGAATAAAGCCACTATCAGCATTCACTTGTAGGTTTTTTAGGTCTGACTTCTTTTGTTTGGCAGCATAAGATTCATTCATATTGTTGCATGTGGCAGTAGTTCGTTTTTACTCTCTTGGGCAAATACCCAAGAAACATATGTTTTCATTTCTCTTGAGAAAATATGTAAGAGTAGGTTTGCTAGTTCATATGGTATGTGTATGTTTAGCCTTATGTAAAACTTCCAGACTATTTTCTGAAGTGACTATACAATTTTATAGTCACTCTGGTATTATGTTGACCTTTCTGTTTTCTACACCCTCACTAGCACTGGTATTGTCTCTTTTTTAAAAATTTCAGCCATTCATTCTAGTAGGTATGTGGTATCTCATCATAGTTTTAGCATGCATTTGCTGATGACTAAGGAAGCTATGTACTGTTTCATGTGTTTTTTGGCCATTTGGAGGTCTTTTATACAGTGACTGTGTATGCCATTTGACCATTTTGGTATTGGATTATCTAACCTATTCTAATTGAGCAAGAGGAGTTCTTTATATATTCCAATACAAGTTCTTCAGAGATATATGTGTTGCATATATCTCTCTCCTTTCTATTTACTACCTGCTATGAAAATAATTTTATTGGAACATATCTATCTTTTGTTTATGTATTATCTAAGGCAACTTTTGATCTACAAGAGCAGAGTTGAGTAGTTGTAATAGAGACCTACTGTCCTACAAAGCCTAGATATTAAGTATCTGCTTTTTTTTTTTAGTCAGAGTCTTAACTCTGTCACCCAGCCTGGAGTATAGTGGCATGCTCATGACTTGCCGCAGCCTCCACCTGCTGGGCTCAGACTATCCTTCCACCTCAGCCTTCCAAGTAGCTAGACCCACAGGCGAGTACCACCATGACCAGCTAATTTTTTTATTTTATTGTCTCGCCAAGTTACCTAGGCTGGTCTCAAATCCCTGGGCTCAGGTAATCCTCTCACCTCTATCACCCAAAGTGCTGGGATTATAGGTAGGAGCCACTGTGCCTGATTCTTTACAGAAAGTTTATTAACCCTTTATCTAGATAACTATGTTCATCTTCTATTACTGCATACATATTTTTAGTGGCTTAAAACAACGTATACATTTATTACCTCTCAGCTTCCAAGGGTAAGGAGGCTGAGGACAACTTAGCTGGGGCCTCTGCATAGGGTCATACAAGGCTGCAGTTAGGGTGTTGGCCAGGGCTGGGCACTCTGGAGGCTTCACTGGGGAAGGGTCTGTGTCCAAGTTCATTCAAGTTGTTGGCAGAATTAATTTCCTTGTGGCTGTGGGAGCGATAGCTTTAGTATTTTGCTGCCTAAAGGCCAGAGCTGGCCCTCAGCTCCTAATAACTGGTTCCCTACCACATAGCCCTCTTCATAGGAAGTCTACAACGTATCAGCTGGTTTACTCAAAGCCAGCGGGAGAGCAAGTGAGGCTGCTAACAGAATCTTACATAACGTAACAAAATCACATACATGACATTTCATTACCTTTGCCATATTCCGTGAGCTAGAAGCAGGTCATAGGTCCTGCTGACACCGGAGGGAGGGAGATTGTACACAGGCATGTACACCAGTAGGATCACCTTAGAGTCTATCTGCCACAATAACTATTAGTAATATATTGTTGTCTTAAGTTTACAGATGTTATTTATATACTTATATAATTGAATACTGTTTTTAAGCAAAAATGGGATCATACAGTTTATTCTGTAACTGGCTTGTATAACAATATCATGAATGATGTAACATGAACGTGTTTTCATGTCAGTGAGTCTAGGTCCACCTAATTTCTTATAATGTCTGTATTGTATCTCATTAGTCATCTATGAATATTACCATAATTTACTTAATCAGTTCCCTCTTGTCAAATATCAAGGTTGCTTGTGGTTTATGTCACATTTTACCAGGCTGCCGTAGGAGTGTACGTGAGTGCCCGTTTCCCCACACTGCCTCAGTACTGAGTGTGATTCTCCTGCAGTCAACTGCCTCTTGACTAAAATATATACGTGAAAATAAACATTACCCCCTTCCTCCTTCCTTCTGTTTATCTCTGTTTTAGATAAGAAGGCTGACTGCACAATCACAATGGCTGACTCTGACTTACTGGCCTTAATGACTGGTAAAATGAATCCTCAGTCGGTAAGTATCATGGAGTTTGTATCCTGCTAGTAGGTGTGTCTTTTAGCCCCTTCCACTTCATCTCCTGCCAGGTGCTTAAAGTGCAAAGTGGTCAGACTTATAAAACTCAGTATTCCTCCAAAGTGCTCACCTAACACATGGCAAACATTTGTAGAGCAAGCCGTGTGTCAGTTCCTGCCCTGTGTGCTGGAAGTGTCCAGATGAAGAAGAAATAGTCCCCACGCTCAGGGCACCCATAGATCTGTAAAAGAGTAAGTGCAGCCAATGATCCAAGCGCCACACTTGGCCTGTGGTCAGAGGAGAATGCGGGGAGCAGCCATGTCTCCCTGGGCCATCAGGAGAGCCTCACAGAGAACGCAGCACTTGGATGGAGTGCCCAGGTGGAGGGTGGGAGTGCTCCAGTAGGGGGCATGTGAAGAAAGGCATGAGCTTTGAATCTGTGCTTTTGTCCCTGCTGTTCTTTTTGCCTGAACTGTTCCTCCCTGACAAACTCCTTATCTTTCAAAATTAGCCCAGTAGTTCTCTCCCAGGACCTCCTTCGAAGTTGTTGGGGAGCTACAGCCAGTCCCTTTTCTGAGCCACTTGCTGGACTGCTAGCTTAGTGCCTGTCATGTTCTATTAGTCATAATATGCTTCTCTCTTCCCCATTACATTGTGAGTATCTCAAGGGATCAAACCCTATCTTGTATGTCTTTGTGTTTCCAGATATTAGCACAATACCTGACATTTTTAGGTTTTCTGTAAACAATTACTGAACTGCATTGTATTTGTCTAAAATGTATTTATACCTTGTATAGATTTTCCTAGTCCCCAGTTTGTCAAGGGTCTTCTTATACTCTTCAGCACACAGTGCTGAACTTGATATATTGACAAAAGAGAAACTAAGATGTTTCTTTCCGTTGTAATTTAAACTTTTTTAAAGTTTTCTTAGTCTGGCTGGTTTCAGGTCTTACTTCTGTGGTTCTCTGGTAATTTACAAAAGGGGATTAAAACAGCTAAATCTGACTTCCACTTGCATTCCTTTTAAAAATGCTTTTTCTTTTTTTTGAGTTGGAGTCTCACTCTGTCACCCAGACTGGAGTGCAGTGGCCGCTCCCGGCCACCGCAGCCTCAACCTGCTGGGCTCCGGCGATCCTTCTGCCTCAGCCTTCCAAGTAGCTGGAACTACTAGCGTGCGCTACCACGCCCGGTTTATTTATTTTTTATTTATTGTAGAGATGAGGTCTCACCAAGTTGCCCAGGCGGGTCTCGAACCTGCAGGCTCAGGCAATCCACTCACCTCAGACTCCCAAAGGCGCGGGATTACAGGCTGAGCCACCAAGCCCAGCTTAAAAATACTTTTTCTAAGCAACTAAGCATATTTCTGTTGATGCCATGATGAGTGAGAGATTTGCATCTGGGATGTTTCAACTGAATACACACATTGGCACTGACAGTTCCACCCACTGAGCCTGCTCTAGAAATCTGGACAGAACAGAGGCCACTAGTATAGGAGCTGGCTGTCATCCTTCCCACCCACTGCACACACCATGCACAGCTTTGGCAAGATGTTCAGACTTCACACATCATCTGCCTTCCTTCTCTCAATTTATCTATGTTCTGCCCACTTTGGAGAGCAAGGTGTCAGTTTATTTTTCTTCAGCACCTGTTAACACCCAAAGGAATTAAAAATAAAAATGGCAGACCTTTCTATTAATGTGCTAATGGCCTTCCCTTATAGTTAGTAAAGGATTTGACTAACTATATCATTAGCTGCAGTGGAAATTCTAATTTCAGTGTTTGGCTACAGTTGAAACAAAGCAGTATGCTCTCCAGCAGAAAGCATACATGAACACCTACGGGCCAGATTAAAATGATCCTTATGTGGATTTAGAGTCTGTAATACTCAGTGATCTATCACAGAAACAAAGAACTGAGTACCACATGTTCTCACTCTGAACACTTACCATAATACAATAAGAAAGGGGTTGACAGTAGCAAGATACTGTCAGGGAAGAAGGGTGGGGGCACATAACGTCAATAAGGGTATGTGATCTCAAACCAGGTGAAGTGAGAACCAAAGGGAGGCCCAAACTTTTCCTATATGATGACTACTTGTATACCTAAATGTGAATTGTACCCCACAGCTTTAAAATAAAAAAATTAAATTAAATTCTTAAAAATGATCCTTATATTTGGATTCTTCAAAGGGCAAAGATTCATGTTTTCTCTATTAAATAAAAAGTTTATTTCTCTCTAAATAAAATAATTATCTCTTTTAACTTAAAAAGTGGAAAGATGGTTTATCTTGCACTACTGGTCCATATTTTTTAATGACGTGTGTTAAATATATTGTGTTTTGAGACACCTGGCCTTTAAGTCATCAGACAGAAAGTTTTGTGTCATATAGAAAGGAAATACTTAGTTTGTCCAGACAGAGGAGGGGGGATAAAAAAGGAATTAGTCACCCTTACCAGGAGGTGTAGAAACACAACTCTGCATTCCCATGGATGATGTGCAGGAGCTCCTAACTTCTTAGTGTACATGCTTAAAATGCTAAGAATATCAGAAACTTTCCTCATCTAGCCCTCTCTTATTTTAAGAATTGAGTGAAAATACTGAGACCATGGCAAGGAAATCATGCTGTGTTCCCAATTTTGCTATTTCTCTTAAGTTTTCCTGGGATTTTGTTACATGGTAAATTTAGCAAACATCATGTGATCTAATCCCAGGCAGTTGTTAAGTGGAACAAACTGTTGCTCCACACTTCAGATTGGTTGATTCTTCTTATTGAGCCAAAGAGTAATACAAACATCTCAGTCTTACCAGGCTGCCTATTCTCTGTAGGGATAAGTCCTTTATCATATAGACCCCCCACCCCCCAAAAAAGAAAAGAAAAAGATGGCATTTCATCCACATCCACATTGTATTGGATCCCAAGACTTTCCAAGTACGTTTTTGTGTGTGCTTTTTCTCCCAGCAGCCTGCTGAAAATGTCACTTCATATTTACAACACACATATTAATGTTTTTAGACAAAATCAGTCTAGTATGAACCCACTTTACCTACTGGTTGGAAAATGAGCCACCTTTGAGAAAGACATGTAAAAACAGACCCGAATTTCTAAGAGAAGACAGTTGGAAAAGATGTTTCTTTCTACTGCTCTATGCAAAGGAATCTGGTACTAAATCTATTCCAGAAAGCCAAGTTTCATATTTTAGAGAAAGTTATATGACCTGGATAAATAAATGATCTCAGGGCTGGATAATCTAGAAACACTAGCAATCTCAAAACAAAAAACATCAAGTAATGAACTTTCTTTCTTCTCATTCACAGGCCTTCTTCCAAGGCAAATTGAAAATCACGGGCAACATGGGTCTGGCTATGAAGTTACAAAATCTTCAGCTTCAGCCAGGCAAAGCTAAGCTGTGAAGAACTCCCTATGACTGCTTTTTAAAATCAAAATGAGATATATAGATCTATATCCATATATGTCATTGTCTGAATTTAGACTGAAACTACATATTGGCAAATAACGTGAGATAGATTTGTTTTTAAATGGGTGTGACCAATCCTTTTTAAGCTCTAAGTGAAGAGAGTCTGATGGTATACTACTGCTTTGCTGAACTGCATACAACTGTGCATTACAAAGTAAATCTGGTAATTATTGTTTGGGGTAAAATTGAGTTTCAGAATAAAATTAGGAACAGTAAAATCCAAAACACTATGTAAACAAAAGTTCTTGTTTTGCTTATATAGTATATTTAAGGATTATTCCACTGAAAATTCAATTTAAGAGTTTTCCTTGGGAGAACTCGGGAAGAAACAATAATTAGTTAGTATTATACACTTAATGACCATAATCAATTTCTAATTAATAGTTCTTAAAATTTTGTGCTAGGATTAAAAACAAAAATTTTGCACTTTATGCACTCAAAAACAGTATTTTCTTCTCAAATCAAAATAAAATAAGCCGGGCTCGGTGGCTCAGCCTGTAATCCCGCGCCTTTGGGAGGCTGAGGTGAGTGGATTGCCTGAGCCCGCGGGTTCGAGACCCGCCTGGGCAACTTGGAGAGACCTCATCTCTACAATAAATCAAAAAATCAGCCGGGCGTGGTAGCGCGTGCCTGTAATTCTGGCTACTCGGAAGGCTGAAGCGAAAGGATCGCTGGAGCCCAGCAGGTGAGGCTGCGGTGGCTGGGAGCGGCCACTGCACTCCAGTCTGGGCGACCGAGTGAGACTCCAACTCAAAAAAATAAAAAATAAAAATAAAGTAAAGTATTATCAGAACTTGGGGGGACATATCTGTCACTGAACACAGGCCTATTTTTAAAATAAAAATATTTTAAAAATGGGCTTCCTTCTTGAAAAAACACTGTTGTTAAAAATAATTGAATAAAGTTTGCTTTGAAATGCACAGTTTTCAAATTATTATCTCATTAATTTACATTTATAAAGCCCTTAGTCTTTTGTTATAAATTTCCTTTTTCATATAAGTTTAATTAATTACCTACATTTATCTTTTTTCCTAGTTTTTCTAATGCTAATGTTATTTCTTATAATTCAATGAGACATGGGGTAAAATAATGCTTTTGGAAGAATGTTTAATAGAAAATTAAAATAACTCTTACTGCTCTCCTTTGTTTTTATTGTCTGTGTTCTTTTTGCTTGAGGTTTTCTAGGTGATGGAGACTAGAGAAACACTAGAGGATTTACAGACATTCTTGACGAGAAAGGCAGTGTGGTGTAGTGGAAAGAACACTTGATTAAGAGCCAGGAGACTTGCTTCTCCCAGGCAAATGACTGCCTGCCTAGGCCTGTTTGCTAAACTGTTAGAAGAGGGGATTTAAGTAGATGGTCCCAGAGGTCCTTTGTGTTCTCTGTGAGTCTCTTCAGAGCCCAGCAGAACAGTTTGGAAGTTATCCAGGGCGACTTCCCTTCTGTCGTTAACCCATTACTTCACCCAAAGGTGGTCAGCAGTAGAGAGCCAGGTGGTTTCATTTGTTGAGGTGGCTGGAGCCCTTGCTAATGTCACCGGGACTGTAGATCAGATTTCCTAAGGCCATTTGGCTTTACATGTTCTGTGACCAGCAGAGCAGCATTTGGTTATAGTATAGGTGGGTACATTCAGCCAATGTAAGATGATCTCAAACTCCATGAAATGAATTCAGAACACGGACCTACCTCCTAATCATAGTAGCTTCTTAATCTGGGAAGAAAAAGACTTTAAGAAAAAAGTTCCAACAAAGTGTCTGATTTATCTGTAGTTTGGATTTGCTGCATCATTCTGTCCTCACTGTTCCCAGATGACAAGTGATACCTGAAATAGGCTTCAGGATGAGCCTATAAAAACAGAGGACAAACAAAAACTGGTTCTTGGGGTAGAAATATGTTCATATATGAATGTAATTTATATACATAATAGAAAGGTACATAGTGATAGAACATATTAGGTTGCTTTTTCCTGTAGTATCATGGTTTAGAGGAAAAAGATTGTTGTTTTTTTTTTTTTTTACCAGAAACATTTTTCTTGTTTAACAAATTATAAATACTTTTTCCACTTATCAAAGTGCGTCAAAGAACTCCCCAAATAATTTAATCTTCATTCTTCAGGAATTATTTTTTCACACAGCAGATCACCATTTCATATCTTAAATCCCAGGGCTCTCCTGCACTCCTTGTGGGCTCAGTTAGATGTCCACAGTGTTCTTCTCCGTTTTCAATGATACACACATCGTGTGCCTTCTTAGTCTCCAGGCAGGCGCAGCAGGGCCTCAGCAGCTTCTTCTCCTGAGACTCAGAAGGCACAGGGCTTGCGGCAGCCAGACCAGGCATCTTTCGTGCCAAAGAAGCAAGAAGTGCAGACACCTTAAGGTATACCAGCCTCTGCAAGGGCTGATTCGACTCAGATTGTTTTAATCTGGGTTAAAACTGCTGTCGCTAGTTGTAAGACTTGAGCAGGTTGAGTCTCAGTTGCCTGATTTATAAAATGGAGACATGAATACCTCCTTCAATTATGAGAATCTAGAGGAAGAATTGTAAAGTGCCTAACACAGTGCTAGGTACATGGTTGTCCTGCTGATGTGAGTTCCCTTGCCGCCCTCACCATTACCACCACTTGCTCCTGTGATATGAGACATGATGTCTGCAGTGTTATGTCCCACTTGTGGAGTCTCTTTTCGTTTGTTCCTTTAACAAGTATGTATTGAGCGCCTAACATATACAGGGTACCACATTGACGGTACAGTGCTAGGCACTGAAGACAGTGGTGAGCTCTTCCCCTCAGGGTGCTTACAGTCTAACGGGCGAGACGGTGACTCAGAAACGAATGACCATTACGGACTATGAAGTGCCATGCAGGAAATGGTCAGGGTGCTATGATGGAGAGTCATGGTGAGGGGCCCACTCTGTGAAAGTAGTTGAAGGAGACATCTGAAGAAATAATTTTTAAGCTGAGATCTGAAGGTTGAGGAGGAGCAAACCAGGCACAGAACATGGCATGAAAGAGTAAAATAGGGCTTGGCTTGTTCCAAAAATTGCAAGAGGGCCAGTGTGAGTGGAATATTATGAGCAGAAAGGACAGGCCCAAGATAAGATTGGATAAATACACAGGAGCCTGTTCTATTGGAATTTGTTCATTATAGAAAGGCATTTGTATCCTTAATGCAGTCAGGAGCTGTTGACAGTATGGCTTTACATATGTTTATTTCTCGCTCCGGCTGCATATCCATCTTGCCATCATATCCTAAGACTGAAACCCAGCGAATGGAGGAGCAGCCAGTATCTGTAACATCATGACCATCATGGCAGAGGAAGAGAAAAAGGTGAAGTGCACGTTGGCTCTTAAAGCTGCCACCCAGAAGTGACATAACTATCACTTTTGCTCCCATCACTTTGCCCGAAGAAAGTCACATGTCCCACCTAACTTCAAAAAGTCACATGCCCCACCTACTTCTGTCACATACCAGAAGGAGAGAGTGGAGTTGAGATATATATAAACAAAGCAAAACCACCACAGAAAGGCTATGAGCAGGGGGAATGAAGTGATTTAAATGATCACTGTAGCTGCTTTGTGGAACATATATTGTGGCAGAGGGCTGGAGAGTGGATGTCTAGGTGCAAGAGGATGGTGTCCTGGGCAAGGGTGTCAGTAGTGGAGATAGATGTGGTAAAAATAGGCAGAGGTGGGGCTGATAGAACTTGGTAACTGGATGTGGGGCAAGAATGACTTCCAGCCGGGCATGGTGGCCCAATCCTTTGGGAGGCTGAGGCAAGAGGATTGCCTGAGCCGGGGTTCGAGACCAGGCTGGGCAACTTGGTGAGACCTCGTCTCTATAACATATCAAAAAGTCAGCCGGGTGTGGTAACGTGCTCCATCCTGTAGTTCCAGCTACTTGGAAGGCTGAGGTGGAAGGATCCCCTAGCCCAGCGGGTTGACGCTGGGGTGACTGTGAGCATGCCACTGCACTCCAGCCTGGGCAATGAAGTAAGACTCTGACTCAAAAAAAAAAGAATGACTTTTCAGTGACTGGCCAGTCGAGTGGTGAGTCATGACTAGAATACAGTGGGACAAGTGGGTTTCAGCAGGAGTGGTTGAATTAAGTCCCACTTTTTGAAATTGTTCACTGAGTTACCTGAGCAGTTTCCATGTGGAGAAATTAAGGAGGCAGTTGGATTTACAAGACTGGAGCTCCAAGGTAAGGTCAGCTTGGAGATACACATTTGAGAGTCATGAACACAGGGGTTATATTTAAAGCTGCAGGAGTGGATGATATTACATGGAGTGGGGGAAAGGAGGGTTGGTTAAACTTTGAGGATCATCAGTTTTTTAGAGGTCTGCTAGAGGAGGAGAAGAGGCCAGAGAGGTGGAGGGAAAACTCCAAGAAGACAGTATAACCAAAAAGCGGGAATGGTCGGTTATGTCACTTGACCTCAGTAGAGGACTGAAAAGTGTCTACTGGATTGAATTTAACAACATGAAAGTCACTGGTGACCACTGCAAAATCAGTTTCAGTGAAGTAGTAGGTATAAAAGCTAGATTGGAATTGGTTACGTAAAGTTCTGTGAATAAGAACAGAAGAGCTCCGTTTGTTAGTGCTCTGCTCAGTTTATGAGTGATACGGATGGAGCAAGCACATTAGCTGACACTTTCATTTCTAAGCCAGGGCATCTTGCATGTGCTGTCCTCTGTGCCCAGCCTCACTGTCCTCCCCACCTCCTTCTCCCCATCCACTTGGCAAATTATTCTTCATCCTTCAGGTCCAACTCAGGTGACTTCGCTTTCAAGAAGCTGTCCCTATTTATCACAAAACACGCAGAGCTAATCACTCTTTCCTAGTCATTTGTTTCTGTCTCCCACTGAACAGAGAGCTCCTTAAGGGCAGTTGCCTCTCATGCACTCATCTTGATACCCCCAGCACGGTCTTGGCTTACTGTTGTTAAATGAATCAAGTAGATAAATTAAATAACAATTAAATATTCAGGGGGGTGCATTTCTGAGGATGCATGCCTACAGAATTGCATTCTCTATTACAAAGACCTTTTGTAGCCCTGGTGATGAATAGAGAACATTAAAAATTCTCCCTAGCTGGGTGTGGTGGCTCAGCCTGTGATTCTAGCACTTTAGGAAGCCAAAGTGAGGACTGCTTGAATCTGGAGGTTTGACACCAGTCTGGGCAACTTGGCGAGACCTCATCTCTACAATAAATCACAAAAAATTAGTCGGGCTTGGTGGCATG